GGGTGGGGAGCAGGGGGCTGCGGAGCTCGCCCTCGGATCCTCTCTGCCTCCCCCGACGCGGTTACTCTTTCTCGTTAACATTAAATATTCGTCCGCACCGGCGAAGCGTCCATCGGTGGGTTCGGTTATGGTACAAAGCGGCGACATAAATAGATGGGGCGGGTGGCCAGATGGGCGGTCAGGTGGAGTGGAGATGAGGCGCTTTCGATTTGCTGACCACCTTCTTCTCTTTGACCCGCCGGTTCTGAAACCAGATGGTGACCTGGCGCTCCGAGAGGTTCGTGGTGGCAGAGATGCGCCGGCGCTTCTCTTTGGTGATGAACTTGCTGGCCGCGTACTCCTTCTCTAGCTCCTTCAGCTGCACCTTGGTGTAGGGCACGCGTTTCTTGCGCCCTCGCCGATAGCTGCTCACCTCGGGCTGTAGGGGGACCACGTCTGGGGGGAGAGAAAGAAGGCGGGCGGCGGGAAGTGAGTCGTGTGTCTGGACCCTGGACCGACCAGGCTGTGCGCCCCAGGTTGCACCACCGTGTAGGCGCAAGGTTGCGGCAGGGATTCCAAGGGGACGGAGGGATTGCCCCCCAGTCCTTTGTGCCTCTGTCATGAGCAAGGCCACCGCTAAGGCGAGGTCACGGGTGTGTTGCCCCTAATGCCAACTTGAAAAGAGGGGAGGGGGCGCCAAAAACTTGGGAATCGAAATAAATAACATTTTCAGGCAATGTTTAAAAAATAAGTGCAAAAAAATCCATGACAAACAAAATCACAAATTTTAAAATAAACGTGGGACCAGTAGTACTGATTTTTTTCTTTTGCCTCAGGCTCCAATATGGCTCTGCACAGCACTCATTATTAGACTCCTGTACCTGTAAAAGGGTCCCTACAAATTCCACCCTGGTCTGAGGGTCTAGAGGATTGCAGGTATTCAGGAAAATTCCTCCTTCCTGCAGTTAGATTATTTGGGCAACCATTAGTATAGACTGTGTGCATTACCAGGGGGAAAATGTTCTGTTGTGTGTTTGAGGGAGAGCATGGCTGAGAGACAGCTTCGGCGGGCACAGGCCACCAAGTGGGGCCTCATGCCTTTGGTCACTGCCTCTACCCTAGGAATCGGAGACCTGTACGAACAGGTAGAGAAGAAAAGTATCCAGGTGAAGCCAGCCTGCCTGGGAGCCCATCGCTCTAGAAGTCCAATGTTGTGAGCCATTTAACGACATCCAAGGTAGGAGGTCCTGGACCTGAGTTGTAGGGCATCAGGCCCCTGGAGCTAAGGGGTCCACACCCCAGGGTCTGCCCACCAAAGGAAGTACCAGGAGAGACCTCTGGGCTAAAACCCACTGTTCATATAAGTCTTCTACAAAAAGAACTCAGTGCCCCTCCTCTTGCTCCTACAAGCGTCCACTCACCAAGACAGCAAATTCTGCTCCAAAGACCTCTCTTCTCCATTCCTCCAAAGTTGAGGGAAACTGTGGCCATCGCATGCAGAAACACTAACCTTAAACCCTAAGTACCTTGTTATCCCAACCACTGCTAGTTCAATTTCTTTATGCTCTGTGAATTTCCCAGGAACTAAGAACAATATATTTCACGTATATCCCCCTTCCACTCCACTCTCATCCCTGTTAATAAAAAGGTCATGGCAACACCTTCAAGGGGAAGTGGGGAGTGGGGGGGGACTATCTGAATAATTCACCCCTCAATTTAAGAAAAATGTCATTGTTAGACTTCTTCAGGTAAAAGCCAATGATGAGGACTGAATATTTGAGGACCGCCCCCCTTCATTCTTAGTGCCCTTTGGAAGTAGAGAGGCCGTCCAGAACATAGACACAAAGCTCTTCCTGAAATGCTTGTTCTCACCCCACCCTCATAAAACACCTTCTCTACACCATTGCCATTGGGTCTGCTCTCATCCAGGAATACTTGTCTACACAGGCTGGAAAGAGAAGAGGGTCACAATCAAATGCAGCGGGAAATAAAGCACTCAGGAAGAATATGTGAAAAGGGGGGTTCCAATGGCCTGGTTTAGCTGTCGTCATGATGCCAATTTCTCAGGAAAATTGTTGGACTTGTCACCTGTGTCTGCCTATGTAGGAACGGGCCAAGGCTTTTTTAAAAAATCTGAAACACAAAACAACTTCACTTTCACAGAGCTCCTTTGGGTTAAAAAGGATTTTTTTTTGTACAAGATAATTTTTAACCATCTCTCAGTGCTCAAATCTGTTTTACTCTTACAGATGTAGCCATGATTCAGGAGATGGGTGATTCTGGGACAAGAGTAACATGAAGACAGTAAGTAGTGATACCATGAGGTATCTGTCTTAAAAAAAAAAATCCTTAGAACATTTTTTTCAGGTTTATTTTATTAAGCCCAACTTACAAGAGGAGGAATGTGACGCTTAGAGTGGGTAAAATGACTTAAGAAGCAGAGCCAGATTTTAAGCCGAGATTTTCTGACTCGACATCATGATGTAGTAAGTTCTGAAATGGAAATAGCATATCTTGTACAATCCAGCTCCAAAATACCTCCTTGTCACTGGAGAGCAAAATGAGATAAAGTGGGTTTGGGTTCCTGAATTAACCAGCTAATTGTCCTTGATTTTTTATCTCATTTTCTCAAAATGCTCATAGTTACCTTCCCAATTTTGGATCCCCTAAACCCAACTCTAAATTTCTGATGAGGGTCAATCAACACAATCCTTAAAAATCCGTTTTGAAACACAGACAACTGGTCTAAATTGGTTATTTTTCTCTATAGGATGTCGAGGCTTGATTTGCCCAAGTTTTTAATGGATCTGACCAAAATGTTGGTTGTTTTGGCCTCCTGGAAAAATACGTTCAGTCTTGCCTTCTCAAAGAAGCCTCCTTTAATTGTCCGCTGTCTTGTCTGGAAAGGAATTGGGATCCACAGATGTAGAAACATCTGGAAGTTTAGACCTCAAGTTGTGTCTATGCTGCCTAAAGTAAGTAGGGGACTTGGTTATTAATTTTACGATCAGGCCTTCCCTAACCTCCCTCCAGAGCATCTACACACACACACACACACACACACACACACACACACCACTTCATACCTGAGGATCTAACAGACACCTTTGAAAAGCGAATAAAAATCAGATCAATTGCTCAGCTCTAGCTTACTCTAGAGGTGGGTGAGATGGAGGAGCCTGTGTATGGTTCCTACTGCCCACTGGTTCTTGACCACCCACTCTTACGACAGAGGTCTGCGCCCTGTAGAGGACTTTGTCCAGCTAGGAATCCTAGCTCCTCTTCTCAACCATAATCCAAAGCTTATCAGTAGGGACTTCTAATATGACCCAAAGAACCCACTATTTCATTTTATTGGTCTCCCCTAATCCTATCTGACTCTGTCTCTCCCTGTCCTCTCTGCCCCCCACCCCCCATTCTGATTCTATCTTGGAATTTTTGCTGATTCTCTTCTGGAATTTTTGCCTCTCTCTGTTTAAAAAAAAAAAAGTGTCTATCTCACCATAGGAAGGGAAAAAAAAAAAA